ATTCTGAATTCTCAGGTTGTCCCTTTGTGCCTCTTGTTTTGTTTAGCACCACTTGTTTGTACTTTAAAACGTTTTGCTGGATTTCAAAATTATTTTCTTCTGCCTTCACATCCTAAAGGTGGATCGTATGATTATTTTTCCTTTGTCATGGCTACCTTTCAGTTAAGAGACTTTAAGAATAAATATATTAGTGAACATTTTTCCAAAGCAGAAATGTGAAAAGGACCAGACTATTACAGCAGCTGCAAGCTGTGTCTGTTTCAGGCTGATGTTTGGTTGTGTTCCAGATTTCCTTCCTTGGGGGGGCTGATAAAGTGAAGCAGCTTTCTCAGACGTGGGAATTCCAGTTATCGGACATCAGACAACTCAAACAAGGGTAAGTTTTTTGGTTACATTTTGCTTCGTTATGCAAATGTTTAACTAAATTAATAGTCTTTGAGGACCGATACAGTATGTTGGTAGATTTCACATCACCCTAAATTAGCTCATTATCGGCTTCATTCCAACAATTTAACAATAAATGATTTCTCCCGGCACTTTGAGTGCTTTTACTTTGAAGAGACCTGGAAAAGCTTCAGATACAGTGGCCCTGCAGGACTCAGATGACTTCAGATTATCATTATAAAATTTGTTTCTGTCAGTAAATGATCCCATTACTGGCATTTGCAGTGAGTGGTGGACTTGTTAACCAATAACATCTTTACAGAGGCAACCTGATCCATTCTGCTTGCGTTTAGCTGAGACAATGGTTATGGAGCATATTGATTTCCCCCAGTTCTGTTTGCAGGGAGTTCTTCATGCCGAGGATGGTTGATACCCATATTCATGCACCACAGTACAGCTATGCAGGGACTGCTCTTGATCTGCCTCTCCTGCAGTGGCTAAACAAGTACACCTTCCCAGTTGAAAAGCAGCACAGAAACACCAAGTTTGCAGAAGACAGCTACACTAAAGTTGTGGTGAGCTATTCATCAAACAGGAAATGTTTTTTTGTACCAGTGGTGGTCAGCAATGATACACTCAATGTGTAAAAAACTGATGACAGCCGTCATTAGTTGAAATAGCTGGCAAATCTGGGGCTATTGCAGAGGGAACAGTGGCCAGTAGTCAAGATCGGGTGCTCAGTTGTGGAGTGGGGTTGTGTTGGGAGGTCCCTTAATTAAGCAGGTACCATTGATTTAAGTGGGCACACCTATTTTATAAGCAATAGTAGCAGTTTAAGGTCATTTAAGGTCTGTGTAATACCAAAACCAATTAAAATAGGAACAAATGAAGCGTGTCACAATTTTAGGTTTCATTTGGGTCACATTGTTTTGAGATTGCACTCACGAGCTGACTCTCACACTTACAGTAAATTGTGCATGATGATGCTTATTATAGAGTTTTGCAATGGGGCGACAACATCATGACACAATTTCTTTCTGGCAATGTATGCCCCTTTTGCAGAAGTTGGCATTTTCTGAACGGTTAAGAGGAAACATGATGTTCACAAGGTATCATATTATGGGCATATACACTACATCTGTTTTAGATTCACACCAGTGTCCCTCAAATACACTAACATCTGAAGTTCCTGCAGTAATTGGCCAGATTATATTACAGTCACTTCAAATAATTAACAGGCCCTGTACTAGCTTAATTACTAATGCAATATATTTTATTCAAAATGGGAAAACCAGACAGATACAATTTATATCTGTGCAATTGCTTCTGGCCAGCTTTAGATATTAACACTGTTTCATCTTTTCTGGGTATCATCTCAAAAGCAGGAGGGAGTAATAATACTACTAATAATAAACTTTATTTTATTTGGTACTTTTAAAAGTTGCTTCTCAAAGCGCTTTACAGATTGAAAACAACAACAATTAAAAAAAATACACTAGATATATACAATGAAAATACACAATGAGAGGAGACAGTAGATGGGCGTACTGAATACAGCAGGAGCAAAGGGGTATATGACAGAACCGGTTAAGTAAAAAAGAAGATTTTGAGTCAACATTTGAAAGAGAAGGTGACTCTTAGGATATCCTTAGGGATAGGGTTCCAAAGCTTTAGGGCGTAACTGGTCACCCATAGAGACAGGCTTGGGGGACAGATTGGAGACCAGAATTAGAAGAGCGAAGGTTGTGACTTGGGGAGTAGGATGATAGTAGCTCAGACAGGCGCCAAGCCATGCAGAGCCTTATAGGTGAGCTTGAAGATTTTAAAATCAACACAAAACCTGACAGGAAGCCAGTGCAAGGACTCCAGGATAGGAGTAATGTGCACTAGACCTGGTCAGGATTCTGCCTGCCCAAGTTTGGACATGTGGATTTAGAAACCCCAGCAAGTAGAGCGTTCCAGTAGCCAATTCGGAAGAAGACAAATGTGTTGATCAGCATTTCGGAAACAGTTAGCAGTAACATAGTCTGGTGATATTTATGAGGTGAAAGGATGATGGTTTGACAATATGTGGCACATGTGGGTCCAATGTCAAGCCTTTATCAAATATCACTCACAAGTTTTTCAATTTTGACTGAAGTTCCAGTACCATCCACAGATAGGGTTGGTATTACAAAGTTGATGGGGAGTGCCAATAGGCATGACTTCAGTCTTGTCACAGTTTAGATTAAGGAAATTATGAGTCATCCTTGTTTTTAATCTGTAGCTTTTAGGATTAGTGCTGCCTGTTAAAATAGTCTTCCATGACTAAATAACACAATCAGACAAGGAGTTCCTAGTTGCAGTTGACATCCAGATTTATCATTAAGGTGCCAGTCAATGCCATGGTGGATGTTGAGGGATGTTCTTTGGCCTAGAGTGTGCTTATATTATCTGCAGCAAAAGACGAGCAATCCTGGTTTGAGTGTAGCGGAGCTAGTTTGGACACGGTGACGTCATCGCTCTCCCTGCGTGTAGCAGGGATCTCAGCAGCCTGGGCTGAGGGAGGTCTCCTTTAGCTCACTCAGCTGGTTCCCTGTTGCATTAAGCCGGAGACCCAGGTTCACGCCCCAGGTGTTGCGGGACGAATCAGCGGGGTGGAGTCACAAGACCGCGTGGAACCGCCACGGTCACAGTGCATCTGCATTTTTTCATTCCAGCTCAACTCTCATCTGCCTAAATCAGCTCATTGTTGCCTCAATGGGACTGGTTGAACGATTTCTCCGGCCACTTCACGTGCTACCGCTTTGAAGAGAGCCAGAAAACCTGCAGACACACCAGCCCCCCAAGACCGTGATTGCTCACCCTGTGCTAGGCCTGCAAATACTTGTTTTAGCAAGTGGACATAGACTAGCCAGTTCAATTTGCCTTTCAAGCCATTAAAAATGATTTCGGCCCTGTGATGGACTGGTGCCCCTGCCTTAAAACCAATTGTTTGCCAGGCTTGGCTCAGGCTGCCCCATAAACCCAGTTGGATGAAGCAGTTAGAAAATGGATGGATGCCTGGAAAAAATGTTTTTTTCCTTTCAGAACAATTTCCTTCTTTCGTAAGCAGACTTCTGGAAACTTCAGAATTCATCCTCTCACTGCCATTATTAGTTAAAGGGTTTAGAGTTTAAAGTTAACGTTTAAAGTTTGAGCAGTGCTTCTCAGAAGAGGGGGCTCGTTTGAACATCTGCAGCTGCTTTCTCCACACTTTAACCTCTCCCCAGCTTTGGTGAATGTTTATCTTGGTCTCACCTCTCCATAAAACATTTCTGCTCATAGCACTGGAGAGAAGCTTGCGTCCATTGCAGTACTGTTCTTGAGGAGTGTGAAGGCTTCAATCAAGGCCTCTTGTAGTCTGCTTTGTTCAGCACTTCTCTCTGTTAATACTGCAAGTCGCTGGAGTTTCTGTTCCATAGCATCAATAAGACACTCACCAACACCAGCCCTCTGGCATTCAGCACGGGAGCCTTCCAGTGGCAATCAGCTAATGATTTGGCCTCTAATCAAGTACGCATGCCTGCATTAGTAAGTCCGTGTGTCAAATAAGCACATTTGCTGGTGGAAGGACAGAGTAGTCCCCCAAGAGAGGCTTTTATTTTAAAGCTACAGTAATTCAACAGTGTTTTAGCTGAAATCATCATTTATTACTCTTGCATCAAACACCAATTGCTTGAATCATTCCTTGAATATCTGAATAGTGTCACAAGAGTAGAAAAGCATGTGATCAGCATTAGATACATTATTTAATAGTATGAGCGTAAATGTTTTCCTAATCACACATCTATGATTCATGTTCCACAATACTACCTTGGAAACTTGTATTGAACTACAATTCACAGCAGTAAAATATAGAGTACGTAGCATTCCATTTTCAATTTCTGATTACGTTTCATAAATAAAATACTTTTATCTTCCTTGCAATCTTGTAATAACTGTTTCAGGGCACACATTTGGAAGCACATATAAACTCTGTGAAAAAGTTTGATTTGCCCTTCTTAATAAAATCTGAAAAGAAAAGCTCCTCTTCTTTTACAGATATACTGATGAGACACATGAGAAAGGCTTCTTATAAGGGTACGAACAGCGAAAGAAATCTCTGGATCCTAGGAAGGTATCTTTATTTATTAATATTTTATACATTGTAACTAAAATATGTGTACAAATGTTTTACAAAAATGGTGCAGCACAAACAGGCAAAATCTATAAATGGTACACTGATCATTTCAAATAAAACATTTTATGAATTAGTATTACAGAATAGTAATGTGGATTAATCTCTTGCTGTAATTCTGTATTTATTTTTTTCTATTTAGCTTAGTAACACCTGTAAAAGAGATAATACTTTTATCAGTTTAATTGCTCTTTTCATGGGGTTATTCGACTCCTAAGGGAGAATGTGATTATGAATTATAATTATAAGAATGTCATTGCACATTAATTTTATGACTGAATTTTCAAACAGTTTTCCTTTTTCTGGTACAATATTTTATTTGCAAAAATTTCTTGAAGCACTTGAACAAAACGCAGATTTGAAAGGAAAGCAATAGCCAATTTTGAGACAGGGTCTGCATTTTTACATTTTGCACTGATCAAATAGCATGGTGTGAAAACACCTTTGTTTACAAAGTAAGAACCATTATAATGTTATTTTTTAATATGAAATGTGCACTTTACAGTACAGAGAAAAAGATTGTGAACCCCTATTGTAATTATGGAAAGTTTCCTGTATTAGTAATGTAATTATTAATACTAAACTTTATTTTATATAGAGCCCTTTAAAGTACATTCTCAAACAACTTTACAGTAAGAGAAAAAATGTTAATAAGGCAAAGAGGTAACAAAATTAGCACAATTAAATACAGGCATTTAGAATGCAGAAGAAGACGCAAGGCACAAATACAGAACTGATTGAGTAAAAGCCTTCTTCAGAAGCCTTCTTCTGAAGAAGATTTTTTGTCTTGATTTGAAAGAGCTCAGGGAAGTTGACACTCTAATATCCTTGGGGATAGAATTCAAGAGCTTTGGGGCATAAGAGGTGAAGGCCCTGTCACCCATAGTACAGTATGAAGATGATCTTGGGGGATGAACAGGAGAGCTGTCAGACACACAATGAGTGTATATAATCCAGGATATATCTTCTATCCTTGAGTTATATGTTTAATCTGATTAACTTCATCTTTTACCAAGACTTTCATCTAAAATATGGACAAATATTTTTTCAACACTGTCATAATTAATTTAATACTGGAACTCTTAAGTGCACATACATGCACATACAGACCTGATCTATATTGACTGTCAGTGAAAATCAGTCAGGCCGACCAAAAACAGTTCAAGACTTAAATACCACTGGGTGCTGACAAGGTCATACTGTAATTTCAAGAATCAACACCTATGAAGAACATCATGGTGTTTAGTTTTTGAACCTGTAAGGTAAAGCAAAATATATTTTTTTTCTCCTGCATTAAAAATCAAAAGAGACCGCCACTAAATATAGGTTATTCTGGTAAAATAAGGAACTAAAAGGAAATTCAGAGAACCCATCTATCCATTTCCTAAACACTTCATCCATCCACAGGGTCACAGATGAGCTGAAGTCTATCCTGGCAAGGACCGGGCGCAGGGCAGGACTCAACCTGAAGAGGACACCAGTTCCTCACAGGACACACACAGACACAATCATACCCGGGCCTGTTTTCCCGAAAGCCAAGTGACTGGCCAGTATTGTCTATGAAAACAGGTCCCCACAATCAATGGCCTGTTAAATTGTTAAAACTGTGAACGACCAATGTAAGCTATTGTCTAGACATGTGTGATTGTAAGTGAAATGTTTAGCAAGCAAACTTTTAAAGAAAAACTAGAGCCTGTAATAACATTTTTATTTTTTAAACAAATCAGCACGTTTAAGTATGTCTATGGAAGAAACCAGAGCCAGAGGATCCTCAGGCTAAAAAAAAAAACATGCAGACATTCATCTCATACATGAGACTAAGGAAATATATCTGCATTAAATACCAATTTCATATATCAGGGGAGAGAAAGAATAGTAAAAATCACTGCCGGTAGTTGCAAGTAACAGACATTTCCCCTGACAGTTGCTTTCTTTTTTTATGAATTGAGCAGTAAGACATGTATTTTTTTATTCAAGGCACCTTACCTTTCCATTTTAAGAAATTACATTAATAAAAATCAACTAAAAAAAACACAAACTGATACGAGGAAAGAAAATATTTTTCTATTACACATACAGTAAATGTTTTTGAGTTTTGCAAAATGTCATTGAACTATTGCAGTCCAAAGTCTGGTCATGTGAGATATGGTGATACTTTATACCTTTTACCATTGGTTGAACTATACGTTTGACATAAACATGCTCATCATATGATGTGTCATATGATGTATCTGTACCATGTTGTCACATTGTAATTTTACCATAGTAAATACATCCCAGTGTTAGTCTCAAAGCTGCCAAAATAAGGATACATTCATTTCTTTAAAAATGTACTTTTTCCCAATACAGAAAATCCATTTTTTCAATTTATGTCATATAGTTAACTTTCAGAATTTGAAAAGAATAACTTTTTTTAAATTAGTCTGATAAGTACAATTACCACTTAGAGCCACAAGAGGTCACCTATTATGCAGAGTACTAATAACACAATTTTAGACTGCTCTCAGCTGAAAATATGCCATGTTTTGAAAATGCTATTAAATTTGCACTAACAGTTTGTTCTTTGTAAATCACATTATATGTATTCATAAAGTCAATCAATATCAATATAGATACTCATTAACTGGGTTAACATGTAACTCATGGACATAACACGACCACAGCTATACAGCCTTCCTGCAAAAACATGAACATTTTCAGCTGCTCAAGCCTAGACAGCAATGGCCTTAACCAATACATGTAGATCCAACAGTCCGCTGTACGGAAAACTGAAAGAAGCCAAGAAACCTTTCCCAAACCTACGTTTCAAAGATGTCTTAGAGACAGGAGTCAAAATCGACCAACCTCAGTTAAAAACCCAGAACAAGAGACCCTTCTTGTCCCAAAGGGATGTGACAGTATGAAAAAAGTTACCAGGCCACGTTGTTGCAGCTGATAGCCTGGTTTCATTCAACAAATGATTTGGATGACAACTTGGATCAATTAACTGATAAATAAAAAGGAGACTACATGGCCTCTTGTTTTTAACTGTTCATGTTCTGAACCCTCATGATTGCAAAGATCAGACAGGCGTGATGCCCTCTATTTTGCTAGTCCATAGGCACCAATGGCACACTGAGTATGCAAGAAGGACGAAGGCAAATGGGGACTGCTGACTGTTGTCCATGATGACAAAACTATATATAATACAGGTCCTCTCACAAAGAGTGAACCCGAGTGTCGAAACAGCTCTATAAAGAAGAGGATAGAAAGAGAGAACGATGTACTTGACCGCCAGACCACCAGAGACGAACGAGCCAGTGTTTTAATTTTTTTTCCCACTGGAAAATAATAAGAGCGTTGCCGCGCCACTTTTTGCTGGCACCCAGTTGTGCTGTCCTTCGTTTCCGCCGGTGGAATGGGCTATAATGTGTAATAGCAAACAGCACATAAACATTTGGACTGTTAAGTATACGATGTGGATGATATTTCATGTGCAATAAGCACCTTAGGCTATTTTCTAGGCTTCATACCAACTAATGTTAAAAGCTTTTTATAGTGTGATTAAAAATACAAAGCTTTACTTTTTAAATCATACAGTGCTCAATAGCACCTCTAAACAGTTCTCCTTACCTGCATGCAAATCCCCTAAACATCCAAGGCTAAAGATCATCTTGCTGTACATTTTCAGTGAACTAATTTTATTTTTTATTGCATCTCCACTCCCATTTAATGTGACATTGCACACCTGGCAGCTGGCTTTAAACTAAAATGTTAATCTGGAATGCTCAAAAAATCAATTCAATTGATCTGCTTACTTTTCCACACACTCTTAAGTTAAAAGCTTCTTCCTGTAAGAGATTGTGGTTGATGTATAAAATTATTTCTTTTCAGTCTTCTCTAACGGAGAAGTATACCACATTGTGCAAAGACATGCTGATAGGTTAATTGGCTTCTGTAAAATTGTCCGTGGTGTGTGTGTCTGTTTGTGCACACTGTTTGTGGATGGACTGGTGCCCCATTCAGGGTGTCCCGTGCTTCCCAGGGCCACTGTGACTGAATTCGATACGTAGTTACCGAAAGTGATGTGATGATCACTTTCACATGATCACTTGCGGAGTGGTGTCATCTTAACCATCTCCAGCTTAACACCAGCAAGACCAAAGAAATGATCTTTCGAAGGAATAAGTCTCCGCTGAACCGTTTCCATCCAGGGTGAGGACATAGAGGGCATACAAGAAAGGTCAGAGCCAAGTCTATTTTCTTAGGAGACTCAGGTCCTTTGGTGTGTGTGGAACACTGCTACACATTTTTTATGAATCAGTGGTGGCGGCGGCCATCTTCTACGCTGTGGTGTGCTGGGGCAGCAGCATCATGAGAAAAGATGCAAATAGGCTCAATAAACTCATCAAGAAGGCTGGCACTGTGTTGGGGATGAGCCTTGACCCCATGGAGGTGGAGAATGCTGACCAAGGAGGAGAATGCTGACCAAGCTCACAGCCATCATGAACAACAGCTCTCATCCACTTCATGGGACTGTTACTGGGCAGCAGAGCACTTTTAGCAACAGACTGCTCCAGCTATGGTGTTCAAGGGAACGTTTCCGCAGGTCATTCCTCCCTGCGGCTGTCAGGGTGTATAACGCTGCCCTAGGCTAGGACTGTTAGCCCTTCATTTGCTCCTCTATGGACAGCATGTTTACTCCATTGTACTTTTTGGACAATCAGTCTGTATAATCCTATGCAAATTTTGCACATATTTTATTGTTTTTACAGTGACTATGATCAGCACATTTTGCACACACCTATGTATTTATTTATTTTGTTTGTCTTTTGTTTTATAACTATTCTGATGTCTCTTTTGCTTGTCTTGGGCTGGACTGCTGTAACACATCAATGTCCCTATGGGATTAATTAAGTAGTATCTATCTATCTATGATTTGTATACAAGTGAAACTTCCCATATCCCAAACTTGTTTAAATCAAAATTGCACAATGGATTTTTTTTACATTTTTTTTTAATTTGGTTGTCCAGTTTTCTTTCTTTCAGAAAGAGAATGCTAGAGTTTCCAGCATAATCTTCTTTAGAAGACAAGGTAATTCAAGCTACTATTGGCGAGTAGAAGCCTATATTTTTACAGAAGAAATATCAGGGAAAGAGGCCTCCTTCTGTGCCTCCGGTGTTTCCTGATTAGTGCTCCTCTGGCAGGCCGACTGTCCTGGTTTAGTAGGTTTCACCCCTTGGTCAGCTACAGGATCGCTGTCAGAGTCCTCAAGGTCACTGTCAAAGTCAAAGTCTTCATCCTCCTCTTCCTCTCTTTTTCTTTGATGGCCTCTTTTCTGACAAATGTCCTGTGCAGTACTTTCATCTGCCTGTGTTTCAGAGTTGATGCTGAAAAAAACAATAATTTGAAGTTACGTATCCTTCAAAAGGCACTTCATAGTGGAAGGATTACATCATTTCAGCTAACAGAGAAATTTCCCAATTTTAAAATGAAGTTTACTCATTACATATGTTGAGACGAACACGTGCATTAAGGTAACCCTTACTATTATGTCTTTAATATAAAAAAGTTCAATCAAGAACATGGTTGAATTCCTTTAAACACCATAAGGAGACAGCTTTATTTTGGTTAAAACTATAAATACTATAAATAAAGTAAAAATTTTTAGCCAAATTTAAGTGAGTTTATAAACGTTTATATCTAGCCTGTACATATACAGTAGTATGTATAGTTAAAATGCTGAGTTGACAAAGTCTACAATAAGATGCCTAGAGAAATGAAAATAAAACCACAAACTTTCACAGCTAAAAAAATTCAGACTGAGAAAGACAAATGAAGTCCAGTAAGTAGATTTGGGTTATGTGCTTCTGCCATGTAATTTTAAAAAATAAATATCACATCCCCTGCAAGTGTAAAGCCTAAACATCAGGACTTCCATATTTTGAGAAATTATATCATTGTCCTAGAGGGCCACCATGTCTTCTGGTTTTTATTCCTCTCTGGACTCTTAACATGTTCATTTGAATCTTTTGGTTTTTATTACTACTGCTTTTACTTATTGACAACATAAGTTACCTCTAACATTTGTTAGCTGTCCAGGACCAGGAGTGAATATCACTGGGTAAGGAGAAGGACAAGACAATAAAAACTTTCTGCCACCTGCAAATTCAAAACTTTCCACTAGAGGGCGATCCCACACCGATGCCTTTTGCAGATAACTGTCATAACATGACTAAGCAAATAAGATTAAGAAAAGATAATTATTTATTGGTAAAATACAATTTGTTGTATTAGGAATATGCCTTTTCACATACCCCAGCTTGCTCTCCATGAGACACACAGACAGGGAGAGAAGCTTGGGGTCAGAGCGCAGGGTCAGCCATTTATACAGCATCCCTGGAGCAGTTGGGGTTAAGGGCCTTGCTCAGGGACCCAACGGAGTAGGACTCCTCTGCCGGCCGCGGGATACGAACCGGCAACCTTACAGCCACAGGCGCAGATCCTTAGCCACATGTACATATTGGGTGAATTTTTACGTTTTCAAAAGGTTTTACAGGCGCACGGTAACTAAAATATTACTTGGAACAATGATAATATATTAACAAGGATAGCTATGATATATTCAGAAGTGAATAAGATAAAAGGCATCAATTAAATATGAAAAGTGGTGTCTTTACCAATCATAAACCCTCGTACAAGTGGCCTTACTTATATTCTATGTTGAATACAGGAAAGCAAACAACAGTGATGGGATAGTTGTCGGTTATGTCCAAGTTTTCTATTGTTAAGAAGTAATCGCTTCCTCTTATTTCAATCAACTTGCACAAAAGGCCCCAAAAGAGAAGGTTATTCAAAAGGTAAAAGAAAGCAAAAGAAACAAAATTGTGTAGCATGCGATACTTGTTGTTCAAACACGTCACTGTGGACGTTAAGCACTGTTATTTTAAAAAATTAAGAGTGAGCAAATAAGTGAATTAAAATATTCCAACAAAATACAATACAAGAGACATGGAATAACAAATAGCACATGTTCCATAGGTTGGTAATCGAAGAGGAAACTGGTTGGATGAGAAGTCATTTGAAATACTTTGACCTAGTGCCAAATCTGTGATGGGTTTCCATGCCATCTGTTTTTATTCATGTCTTTCATTTCTTATATAATATATGCAATTAATAAGCAGATGGAATACAGAAATGGACTGTGCGTGGAATCATGTAAAAATGAGAAATTAAAGGGAGCTCATAGCACTAAAAGATATTAAAGCTTCCCCTAAGATTTCATGCTGGATATCGATATAGTGAACCGAAAATTAATCACATAGTTATCAATCCAAAGTGCTCTGAGTTTGGTAAATGGATATGGTTACAAATCTAAAAATAATCATTTTAAATTTTCTGACTCACTCCAAACACAACAGAAGGGACTGAAAATAAAAAGGCAGTGAATGGTTAAGTTGTACTCTCTCAATTTTGAATACACAACTCTGAAGATTTTCTATTTGGTTTTGATGATCAGGAAGTTCAGGAAACACAAGCAAATATACACTGTATAGCAAACAAAAACTAAAAAAAAAAATCATCAACTTTGTGAACAGAAGCCCCGCTTGCAACCTCTCAGCCCTTTTTATTGAGAATGAAAGCAATGATATGTGTGAAAACAACACCACTCAGTAACTGCCTCTATGTCTGCAAAAATGTTGCCTTGACACTTTTCATGTTTCTTCTGTTTAGCTGTATAACATCAGAAATATGGTTTTACAATATCAGCACATGTAGGAGTATGCTGTTAGAGAACAAAATAAGAGTGATGATTTTTATCTTTACAAATCTAGGCATTAGATGGGGATGTGTTAAACTATAAGACAGAAAGACTTATTATGTGCATTGATAATTATCTGTCATCATTTCCAGCTAGTGCAACTACCCAATTCCACATCTGAATCTCAAAGATAAGTGTAGGAGCACGAAAGTCACATTACGAGTATTATTTTGGTACTAGCAAGTGGTGCAAGCTCCCTCACATCAGAAATGTAAAACTGCAGTGAAGAATATTCTTACAAATGTGAGTAGTTTTAATTAATACATTGAATATTTTAAGAGAAAGTTTTTATAAGGCATTCAACCCCAATTTGCAGTATCTAAATGATAGTGCATGGCTTCGTATTTCTTGTTTTTATTGTAGCAACTAAATCCTCTTGTGCCAGAGCAGAGACGTCTATTTTCCCCTTCAACAATGGCATCTAGAGTGCCCCTTTTGAAACTTTCTCCTTTCACTGGTGAAACAGAAAACTTACGGAATCACAATGTCTTCTTTCTTCCCACATTTAGCACAGAGTTCTAACCTCAGGGCGCATGGCTTGCAGATTATATGATAAGCATCCCTCACAGTCTTCTGAAGGCACTTGACGCTGTAAAAGATGTCAAAGAACAATTAAGCAACCCCTCAATTAAATCGTCTCCAGAATTAGATTACTGATAAAAATAATCTACAGCAGGGAGGTCGGCAAAATCCCAAGTCTTTGGTAGGGAAAAAAAAAACCTCTGTTCTATTAAAATTTAGCTGCAGAGTAATTTTGGCATTATGCTGTTAAAAAGCAAAAACTACTGAGGACAATTTATCCTCTGAGATAACAGGCAGAACTCATTCATGTTTTTTCAAGACTCTCACAAACGTATTTTCTGAAAACGGAAACAGAAATGAGCTAGATTCAAACTCAATACTGTGGCTAGAAATGTGTGAACTGACACTAGAATGGCAAGATTCATTCTTTTCACCTAGTGCTCTTAAACTCAAAAACTTGCTCATGTTGAAAAGTTGTAAACTAATTATAACTCTATGTCTCCGATGATGTCAAACTTAGATTATGGCTTTAGCAGCAATATATAAATATGTCTACTTTTCAAAATGTTTTGCCAAGTTTTAACATTACAACTGATGCACAAAAAAACCTCAATTCAGGTGCTGCTGTGGGTAGTTCAACACTCAAAGGCTGGACAGTTGTACAGTACATGTCTGCTTCTGAGCCACTGGTAAGAAGGTGCCATGAATCTCCTTCCAGACTGAGGACAGGAGAAAAAACTGGCCAACAATGTTTTGGCTGTACTATTGTAATTCCAGCACTGTGTTATCTTGTATTTTCCTGATAGAAATTATTGTTAAAGGAGATCTCTCCCCATTTCATCACATTTGCTTAAACAAAGCAAAGGTTATCATAATCCTCACCATCAGGTGAATAAAAAAAAAATACTCTACCACCTCTCTCTGCTATCACCTCTGTTATTCCCTAGCCCACAGGAAAAAAGCAATTTCATCGCTCAGATGTCAACATTACTTCTGACCTCCCTCCAAGCGTGTAATGTCAAGTAGACGGCGAGCCGTCATTCTGCTAACGCGTGGGCTATTTAGTCTCTGAAATTCTCATGCTGTAACCACTGCGGTCTGAAAATGATTCAAAGTTGACTGGACAGATGCAATGGTCTAGCACCGGAGTGGTGACACCCTTCCATGGCATGAACTATTTCTCAGAAAACAGGCTGTGACTTCCCTCTATCCACCTGCTTATGTCTGATGCAGCACTGGCAACTTGTCTCTCAGCAATCAGCCTTCAATCATGCCAGCAATAGCAAGGCAATCTTCTTTCATCAAGAACGGCATGAGTGTGTCATTTGCTTTAATTACATGAATGCTTTTTACATAACAGTTTACACAGATTAACTCATTTTAGCTAATATCAGTCAATTGAAATACCACACAGTGAACATCTGGTATTTTTATGACATCATATGACTTGGGCAAAGTATTCTGTGATCCCAAGGAACAATATGACTCTATCACGAAGCTTATAATAATCAACATTAGGTACAGTGCCCTGCAAAAGTACTCACCCCACTGCAAATTCCACTTTGTTTTTGTTCTAGTTTGCAATCACACTTTAAAACAGGACTTCATATTTGAATCCATACAATCTACACCAAACTTGCAAAACTAATGCTGACAGAAAACAAATTAGATTTTAAAAGAATGCAAGATTGTATAAGGATTCAATGCTTAGTTCTAAATCAGTTCAGATGCAGGAAAGCTGGAAAGGTCACAAACTTAGTTTAAGGGTCTCTATCTGTATTTAATCAAAATTATTTAACTTGACTTTGTAGTAAATGAATGTAATTTCAGAGACAGATATCGAACTTCATAAAGCGATGTGACAAAAATGACCATTAAGACCAAGGAGATCATGGAACAAGAAAGTAATTAAGTTGTACAGCAGCACAAGCAGGAGAAGGTTGCTCATCCGTTGGTGTGCAGTACAATGTGCATCATACCATATAAATACCACCTACATCAGGCTGCCCTTCCACACCGAGCAGCCAGGCAAGCTGGAAACTGGTGAGGGATGCTTTTGGTCATACATTAACAATCACCTGATCCCTACATTAAGTTGGCCTTTACGAGCAAGTGGCAAAAAAGATGCTGTTAATGACAAAGACTTATAAACATAGTATTGATTATATTGCACACAAATGCCCGAAGGTTTTATGGTCAGGTGAGACAAAAAAAATGAATTTTGGAGGACAACCTGTTCACGCCACCCAGAAAGCTGAAACCGGGTTGGAAAGTTCACACTTCAGCAGTGCATGACCTGAAGTACAAGACTACAGCCACACCCCAGCAGTCTGAAAAGGAGGGGATGCATGGCCTTGTGTGGCCCAGCTGAAGTGCTGACGTGAATCCAATAGGAAACCCAGCTAGGCTGAACAACTGCAGTCTATCAGCAATCGTCAATGAATTTGTTGAAACGGGAGTAATCTTGCAAGGAAGAAATGGAAAACATAATATACCGTTCCACTATCCAAACATACCAACAGAAGTTATTGCTGCCAAAGGTGATTCAATCTTTGATTTCTTTGAGACCGATTTTCCTGTTATTCAGCCTCTTTCACAAATAGTGTTTAGGTTGATCACTACAGCTTTGAATAAAAATGTTTGTTTTATACTCTACTTTTAATTGATCAAAAGGTGATATTAGTAGCAGTGACTGAATATTTTCACAATGCACTGTGATGAATAGTCTACTGATGAAACCACAAGTCAAGTTTTACACTGATATTTTTTTAAATAATGACACTGGAATTTTTGTGCGTTGTCAAATGAGGTCAGTTTTATCTACTATACGCATTTGGTGAGGACTATGTGAAGGTTAAATACGTCATAAAAATGTTCTTGGGGCATGGTGTATATACAAGTGCACGTAACTGATAAATCAGTGCTTGTCTGAATTAATAATCATCTTCTCAGAATGGGATAAAAGTGTCTTTAGTCTTTCAGTGGTAACACTGACATAGGCTATAAAGGACGTTACACTACAATCTTCTCACATTAGATTATATATCTTTGGTTTGAAGACATAAAATGCTAAATATCACTGCACCTTCCAGGCAGAATAAAACAATGACATATCACATGTACATGACATACGGCACCAATCTGAGTGATTGATGCAAGTGCAGGGTTTCCCGCAGTGGTACACAAAATTGATGGCCAAACAAATGCCTGAAAAACAACAAAATCTACACGAGAACCCAAACTGAAAGACTGTTAGTAATACACGATCATTTGATCACCACAAGATCATTGGCTGGCCAGCCAGAAGCCGCAATAGTGCATAATCGCACGGCTCTCAAGTCCCACGCATTGGGACCAAATCTCACGCTGTCATACCTTGGTCTGAAAACCTCTCATATTTGCATGAAGTCTAGGTTGACTGAAAAAAATGAAGTAACGAATATTCAAATAGCTGTAGAGACTCTCAATTCCTTTAATCATCCAGTGTGTCCTTTTGTACATGTAAAAAGAATAGCATGCAACTGCAATTGTTGACAGAAAATCTCACACATTAGGGTTCTGATCCCCAGAGAGCTGTCAGTAATCAATATAGAAAAGAAACGCCTTCCAGCTGAATCATGGAGTCACAGAGAAATACTTTAGCGCTTTCATTGCTTTCCACTTCACTTTCAAAGTGAAAAAAGGCACTTCTAGCCTCAACGAGTGTAAAGTAATAAAATGTGCCTCAATTGCAAAAAGGACACTATTATGGCTTGAGGCATTCAGAAAACAGCAAATAAGGTGTTTCAAAGACAAAGCTCTTCTTCGCTCAGGATCGTGGGTTGACCACGTTTTATATATATAAAAAATACTAGTTGTTGTGGACAAATAACATCTTGTTCGGGATAACATTGTTAAGTTACTATGATAAGATTGCTAGTTACTTTGCTGTTAATCTAGCTGTAAGCTGGGGGGTAACCACCCCGCCAAAACTTTTTCCTGCTGGGTAACCCTGAATGTAATACGATAGTCTGACTTCATATCTGGGTATAGAAATAAGGTGGAAAAGGATATTCAGAACTTTACATGACAAATGGCACAGAGTTCGTTCCACAAGACAACAAGTGGGACAGGGACTTTCACAGTAGACCCCTTGTTCTGGCATGTCCAGGCAAAAAAACTACCTGTGCACTTGCACCAAGAAAATATGATTTTGTTTTATTATATTTATTTCAAGTTCTTGCAATGCTCAATATACTTTGTCTACACTACACTAAAAATATACTGAAACTGTCTGCATGATTGAAACCCTGTAAAATAAGATGCAGGGGAAACCAATAACCCTCTAGCTGGGGTCACCTCTCCTGTTAGGTAGTGTAGAGCCTGCAGACTGTCAGCTGTTGAATGGCTCCGATGGGGGAGTGTCGGTAGAGAATGTACGAAGGCACTCTGTCTCCTTGTGAAGAATGCAGCACCTGGACATCAATTAGCACTTATCTTTAAGAAAGAACTATAAAGATATTTAATCCTACAATTTAGATTACCTTTATTAAATTCTCAAATGTAGGTGGATCAGTGAACACCTGTACTGCCTCACTGAGGAAAGAGTGGGTCAGATCAGAGTGGCAGCAAGCACTAAGGAGTACAGATATGTTTCTGGATCACACACCACAGAGCTCTTTTGCATGTTGATGAAATAAGGCTAAAACCTTTGAGATTCGACTCAAGTTTAAGAAACTAATAATGAAATCCAAATTACATGAATAAGGTTGTACTTTATTTTATTAATATCACAATTAAATATCCCGATTATAATTATTAAAGGGTCTGCTGTATTACCTTGATTAGATATTTATAACAGAACATTGTACATAAACCTAGGGCAACCACTAATCATAACACAATGCACAGTACTGGATCATAATGCATTTCACTGAAAGGAGGTTCTAACGAGAACAGCAGATCAATCACGTCATAAATAATTCACCGCACAGTGACGGCATCCCGCACACAG